TATTAGGATAATCATTCAAAAATATTGAATTAGATCTTGAAGAAGTATCAGGCGAAGAAGTACCATCAATATTTGGAAAGTTGATGAAATTGTAAACAAGAAGTGAGTTTTGACTTCTGGGGTGGTTAGAGTTAAGAAGACTTGAGAGCTTTTGTAAACAAGAAGTGAGTTTGATTTCTTGTTGAGTGGGGAGTTCTTAATTATAGTTAATCGAAAAGGTAGAAGTTTAGAGTTAGATTCATTGATTAACTGAGTTGTAAATCTTGCATTAATATAAAACTTCGGTGTGGTTTTTCTCTTCCTTAAGTTAGGAAGGTTTCCACGATAAATCTTTGTTTTGTTGTGTTGCGACAAAATTAAAAGAACCTAGTTCTTGTATCGGGGTAAGATTTCTTCAATTGGTATCAGAGCAGGTCTTTTCATTAAAAGACTAACATCTTGAAAGGGATCAATGGCTAAACCACCTACACCACCGGAAAGATCTTCTCAAACTCGACCACCACTGTTTAATGGAAAATTATGGATGGTGGAAGAATCGCATGATGGATCATTTACTACGAGAAAATCCAGACCTCTGGGGAGTCCTGTTGGACGGTCCAACCATAAAAAAGATCTTGATATGCGGAATAGGTCTAGATGAATATAATCGAATATCATCATGTCAAGATGCAAAAGCAAAATGAAAAACTTTGCAAAATGCTCATGAAGGAACAACTCAGGTAAAGAAGTCTAAAATAGATAACTTGAACAAACAATACGAACTTTTTCGAATGGCAGAAGGTGAAAGAATCCAAGAGATGCACACCAGGTTCACTACTATCATTAATGAAATCTACTCACTAGGTGAAATAATTCCCAATTGGAAGGCTGTCAGAAAACTTTTGAGTGTTCTTCCAGAATCTTGGGAGAGCAAAGTAGAAGTCATTGCTGAAGCACGTGATATAGATAAGTTAGGTATGGATTATCTCATAAAAATCTCATGACCTATGAACTCAATAAAAAACAAGAAAAGGAAATTGGAGGCAAAAGAAAAGAGAAGAACCTAGTTCTTACAAGCAGAAAACCATAAAATTTTGAGAATGAAAACATTGCGTTAATGACCAAAAGGTTCTCAAGAATGTTAAAAAAGGGACAAGTGCACCATAGAAGGAACTCTCAAAAAATCACTGAAAATCCAATAGATCAAGTATGTCACAAGTGTGGAAGTCCAAATCACCTTGTCAAGTTTTGTCCATTAAAAGCTCTAGAGAAAAAGAGTAATAGTTCGGAGAAAGAAAAGGAAATCAAGAATGATAAGTACATTCCCACAAACAGAAGAATGACCAATCAAGAAGCTGATCCTTCAATGAAAAGGGCCTTTGCCGCTTGGGAGACTTATCAGAAGAAGAATCTGAGGATGGACGATTCGAAAATCAATTACTACTTGCAATAGAACAATCAAATAAATATGATTTTCTTGCACTCCATGCTGAAACAGATTCTGAAGATGATGAAGAATATAACAAACAAAACAAGTTAAGTTTTCATCACATTAAAGTAAACATTGAGTCATATTCTAAAAAGGAACTATAGTCCCTATTGAGTACTCTTATAGATGCATATCAATCAATCAATTCTGAAAGAGAACAAATGATGGAAAACTATGCATCTTTAAGAGAAGAAAACGATAATATTAAGGAAAACAATCAATTTCTTCAAAATAAATTAAAAGAACAGATTCAGACCTCAAATTTAAGTACAAGGGCAAAAACTCTTCTAGTGAACTTCAATTAGATCTTGAAGAAAAAATAAAATTGTTAACCATAAATTGTCAAGCCTTAACAGAAAGAAATAGGTTGCTACAAGAAAATCTTGATCATACCAAACTTGATATGGAACGAAATCTTAGATAGACTAATTCCTCTGAAATTTTAACTCAGATTCAAGAAAGGTAATCCACCAGTCGAAGTGGGATAGGTTTAAAAAAATAAAATAATCTTGTAACACACACTATTCATATGTCTAAAAGTTTATGCACTCATTGTGGAAACTCAGATCATTCAAAGAATCAATGTAAAGTTTTATTTGAAGATTTTCAAAAAAATGTTAAGTTCACCAAAAAGGAAAAGACGGATACGGCTCAGAACCTGGTTCCAAATAAAAATGCTCCAGATAAAAGAACTTCGTATTTGCCTTTATGGGCTTGAAAAAATCTTATTCATCCTTTTATCACATAAATGGGCCAAAGCTAATCTGGGTTCCCAAGACTAATCTTTGACTAGTTTTTCAGGTGAAGGTGAGAGGGAAAAGGTCAACTTGATCCATGAATAGTGCATGCTCCAAACAGGTGTTAAAGATGTTAGAAAATTTCCTCTCGCTCTTTGATTTTCAAGGAGACAGTTTAGTCCTTGAAAAGGAAGAGAAAAAAAAGTGACATGATATCAAAAATCTTTGATGATGCAAATTTAGGGAACATTGCAGATGAACCTGGTTCGCGTCTAACAATCATTGATGCACCTGCAACATGAATTACTGTACTAATCTATGGTTCTGGAGATTGGGGGAATAATAGAGCAATCGGGACAGTAAGAGTATGGTACACTTTCAGGGGAAACTTCGTTATGTGAACCTGGTCCTTGTTATTCATTGGAAGGTATTGAAAATTGACAAGGGTTGGTTCTCTGTGACTCAACTTGAGATTCGTTTGATCTGGGAGAATTTGATGATGCAACATTCTCATGAAGGCCTTGAATATGGAGAACTTGAGAAAAACAGTCAAAGCATGGTCTTATCGAAACCAGTTGATGCATTATCATGATTTCCATTAATATTTGGATAGTGAACGAATAATCTTATGCTTGAGTAATTATACAATGAATATCTGCTAACTCGGTCTCGTACTGTAACAGGTACACACTCAAGTCACATCTCAAACAATGTTTAGTAAGTCTGCGGATGTTATCAGACTCTTTGCTAACACCATTAAGTAAATCATGGATAAACACAAAAAGGGGGAACCTGGTTTCTCTGTAATACCCAGGTATGTACCATCCTTTTTCAATGCATGAATTTCTTGAGTTTGGGTCAAACATAAGCACTAATGAACCTGGTCGATCATCAAAAATTCAACTTTCTTAAAAATCACCGGGAACCCTCTTTGAAAATAAGCATTGTTCAATCTCAAAATGCTCCAATGATGAAAATCTCAGTATTGAAGTCACTCATGCTTTAATTTAGGGGGAACCTTGCATTACCACCCACATCTAATCCAGGTTCACAAACTCCAAATTGATATTTCATCCATTCCAAGTGTATAATTTGTCTATCTCTCAGGGGGAACAATTCTCACAGAAATAAATTGTTACTTGTTTTCATTATTGATAAACACATCTCTTTGTGCATCAAAATGTGGTGAATATCTTACTTGTAGTTGGTACTCCTTCAAAATGTCATCAAGAAAAAGGCTAGTTGTTGACATCCTTTGAATGGGAGCAACGTCGCGGCGGCTCAATTAAAAAAAAACTTTCAAAAATTATAAAAGGTTTAAAAAAAGGTTAAAAGGCTAGGAAACTGATTAACTAATTAACTTAAAATAGAGTCTACGAAACCAATTTGGTTCTAGGTAAGGGATTCAAGTTATTCCGAAGCGAAGGGGTTAGGCACCCTTCGAAATCCACAATTGTGGTTCCCGACTGAGTTCATTTTTTCAAATTGAGGAGATAACAATAAAATACCAGTAATATAATATACAATAAACAATAATAATAAAATAAAACAACAACATGAGAAACGGCCTAACCCTTGCCTATCATCGATATCTTAAAAATAATGAATTGTAAAATATAATCCGAACTCCTTGTGAATAACTTCAATGAAACAAGTCTTGGGTACCTGTAAACACACTTAGTAAAAGTGTTAGTAATGAATAAAATTGAATATATGAAATAATAATTTAAAACGAAAATCCGTCTTACTAACATTGGAGGCCTTAGAAATCGACGGTAATTTCTTCATCGGCCTATTTAACAAATATATTTAATATAACCTGAACATCAATAAAATATAACAAACTTATCCCAAGAGAATATGGAAAACAACAACCAAACTAAAACAACATAATTAGATATGGAAACAACAATAACGTAATATATAAAAATTAAAAGTAACATTAAAATAGAATAATAACAAAACCCTGAGAAGTTAAGATAGCACATAATTGACTAACAATTTCAAAATAATAATAATAAAAAATAAATAAACATCAAACCGTAAAATAATGCTAATATTAAAACTACAATAAACACAAATATTAATTGACTTTTAGAACTACATTAAACTAAAAAAAACAAGCTACATATAATAAACAGAAAACATAAAAGAGCTGGGAATCAAATAAAACAAGGCTAAGAAAAAAATTTACTTGGTTCTGGGCAGCGTACCGAAACTATGAGTTTGATGGAGACGACTCCACCTCTTCAACTCAAAAAACCACAAAAAACACTTTAAAATTTTGAACTATGGAACCAAGAATTCTCAAAATTTTATGGGTACTCTTTGGTCTTCCCCTCAAAAATCCTCCTCTAAAAATAGTGAATGAAGTGGATTTATATAGAAACCAAAAAATCCTCAAAAAGGATGAAATACCGATGTGGGACTATTGCAAAATTGAAAATTGTTTGAGAAACGATGTGGGAAAGGCAGATTTTTTTTGGACTCAAAATGTTTTAATTTTAAAACCATCGGACCAAAATTTGGTGTCAACAACTTGCCCCTTTGTTTGATTAGGATCGATGTAAGAGATCCTGGTCAAACAAAGTTGACGAACCAAATTTGGTTTGATAAACATTGAACAAAACAATTGAGATGTTAGTAGAAATTTTGAGCAAGACTCCACATTGATCGACTGGGATGAAAATAATAAACAAAAGACAGAGATTGATTGCAAACTGAGAAAATTCACATACTTTTGATGTTACTTGCAAAATTGCACAATGAAGGTGGTGTACCTTTTTGAAAAAAGGATGATGCGAATAACATGTTACATTGAATGAGGTGACAACCCAGCGCGTCTCTTTGAAAGCAGGACGACCCAATTTGAACATAACATATAACTTTAAACGAGGTGACAACCCAACGTGTCTCGTTGAAAAGCGGACAACCCAACTTGAACTTAATATGTCATTTGAAGGCAAATGACAACCCATCGTGTCTCTTTGAAATGAGGACGCCCCAACTTGAACATAATATGCCATTTGAAGGGAGAGGACTACCCAATCATGTCTCTTTGAAAGGCGGACGACCTAACTTGAACTTAACATGTCATTTGAAGTGAGATGACGACCCGATCCTGTCTCTTTGAAAGACGGACGACCCAACTTGAACATAATATGTCATTTGAAGGGAGATGAAAACCCAATCTTGTCTCTTTGAAAGGCGGACAACCCAACTTGAACTTAATATGTCATTTCGAGGGAGATGACAACTTAATCATGTCTCTTTGAAAGGCGGACGACCCGACTTGAACTTAACATGTCATTTTAAGGGAGATGACAACCTAATCTTGTCTCTTTGAAAGGCAGACGACCCAACATTGAACTTAATATGTCATTTGGAGGAAGATGACAACCCAATCTTGTCTCTTTGAAAGGCGGACGACCCAACATTGAACTTAATATGTCATTTGGAGGAAGATGACAACCCGATCTTGTCTCTTTGAAAGGCGGACGACCCAACTTGAACATGCCATTTGAAGGGAGATGACAACCCAATCCTGTCTCTTTGAAAGGCGGACGACCCGACTTGAACTTAACATGTCATTTGAAGGGAGATGACAACCCAATCTTGTCTCTTTGAAAGGCGGACGACCCAACTTGAACTTAATATGTCATTTGGAGGGAGATGATAACCCAATCTTGTCTCTTTGAAAGGCGGACGACCCAACTTGAACATGACATTTGAAGGGAGATGACAACCCAATCTTGAACTTAATGTGTCATTTGAAGGGAGATGATAATCCAATATTGAACTTAACGTGTCATTTGAAGGGATATGACAACCCAACATGTCTCTTTGAAAGGCGGACGACCCAACTTGAACTTAATATGTCATTTGAAGGGAGATGACAACCCAATCTTGTCTCTTTGAAAGGCGGACAACCCAACTTGAACTTAATATGTCATTTGAAGGGAGATGACAACCCAATCCTATCTCTTTGAAAGGCGGATTACCCGACTTGAACTTAACATGTCATTTGAAGGGAGATGAAAACCCAATCTTGTCTCATTGAAAGGCGGACGACCCAACATTGAACTTAATATGTCATTTGGAGGGATATGACAACCCAATCTTGTCTCTTTGAAAGGCGGACGACCCAACTTGAACATGCCATTTGAAGGGAGATGACAACCCAATCTTGAACTTAATGTGTCATTTGAAGGGAGATGACAACCCAATATTGAACTTAACGTGTCATTTGAAGGGAGATGACAACCAAACATGTCTCTTTGAAAGGCGGACGACCCAACTTGAACTTAACATGACGTATCACAAAATCTGCAATATCAATGTTAGTAGCAAATATAACATAATTTATACAAGCATGACCATATGAACAAGGTATTAACCAATGCAATGATTCAAACTTAATAACATCAGGAATTAAATAAAATGTCAATTTAAAATAGAATAAAAAAAGTGTCATATTGAACGGCATGACAAACCAATCTGAAATAAATCATTTTATTTGAGACAACAAATCAATTTTGAGAAGATATGATTTTGAAAGGTATGACGACCTAAATTTAAGAAAATGTCATGTTGAAAGGTATGACTACCTAACTTTAAAAGATGTCATTTTGAAAGGTATGACTAGCGAAAATAAAAGATGTCATTTTGAAGGATATGACAACCCAAAAATAAAAAGATGTCATTTTGAAGGATATGACGACCCAAAAAATAAAAAGATGTCATTTTGAAGGGTATGACTACCCAAAAAATGCAATTTAAACCTTGAAATGGTCCACAAAGTTATTTGGGCGAATATTAGGCATAAATATAAAAATGATGTCAGTTTGGAATGTATGACGACCTAAAAAAGATGTCATTTTGAAGGGTATGACCACCAAAAACTAAAAAATATGTCATTTTGAAGGGCATGACTACAAAAAATGCAATTTAAACTTTGAAACGGTCCACAAAGTTGTTTGGACAAATATCAACAATGAAACACTCCACAGAGTTGGTATGGACAAATATCAACAATGAAACGGTCCACAAAAGTTGGTATGGACAAATATGGGGCTGAAAAATAAAATGATGTCAGTTTGAAAGGTATGACGACCCAAATTTAAAAGATATCATTTTGAAGGGAATGAATACCGAAAAATAAAATATGTCATTTTGAAGGGTATGACTACTAAAAATGCAATTTAAACTTTGAAACGGTCCACAACATTGGTATGGACAAATATTGTAAAGTGGGTTTCAATCCATTTTTATTTTATGAACAATGAAACATATTTTAACTTGGTTAGCGCCAACAATAGTATTGTACAAAAATTTCTCACAATTTTTCTCTTTCAACTAAAATTGACATCGAGGTAATTCATTTAAATTCAAGTGGTACCTCAAATGTACTTAAGCAACAACAAAATTTGTCCATCTTTCTATAAACAAAAGCTTAGAGCTAGACCTAACATCATGTTTCAAGTGCCTTCACAAGAAAGAAACTTTTAATTTGCGCACATTTAAATTGTTTTGATTTGGAAACATCTGGAAAAGCACACTCACACTCGAAAAAAAAATTTCAATGCATGCAATTGTGATACCATATGCTTGACCTTCATGTAAATCTCCATTAATGTTGAACATTTGAATTGAAATCATGTAGGGCTTGTTAATAACTTGTAATGTTGGCTTAGGAACAGGTAGGATAGTCATTTGGGATTAAAGTGACTTATTCCTTCTTGAGCATTGCACTAAATAGATGCTTTCAACATCTATTACGCTTTTAGCGTTTGATTCTCTTTGTTGTCCCTTCCTTTTGCACTTTTGACTTCTTTGAAACTTTGTTTGTCTGAATTTTCCCCCTTTTTGAATTTTCTCCTTTTTGTTTGGAGTGTTTTTCTTCTTTTTGAAATTTTGCTTTCTTAAATTGGTGGGGAATTTTGAAGCTTTTTTTTTCTTCTGAAGTCATTGTTATTTTCTTGACATTCAGAAACATTGATAACTTTTGTCTTTGACAAATTTGAACTTTGTATCTTCTCTTATAACTTGCATGTCTTCAGTGCGCTCAAGAAAGTCTGGTCAAAAGAGAGATAGTGCGTAAAAGCACTCAGAAAAGGTATAGGTTAAGATGTGGTTGTCCAAAGAAAAGGCTATAGGCTCAAACTGGGGACATCTAAGGATTAACATCATTTGGTAGGTTTTGAAAGGCTCAAACGGATCAAAGAAGGCCTGCAATCATTTTTCAAAATCAAACATTACTCAGAATTTCGCCTCAATAACATTTAGGCTATGTTCTAGATCAACAATGTAAAATAATTGAATTTGATTCAAAACTCACTACACAATGCACATGAAACAATGAATCTGATTTTGTTCTAATCTTGAATTTATACAAGACAACATTTGCAAGTGTAACAAAGTATGAATGAGAGGTACCAAAAGAATCCATGGTTTAACAAGAAGTCAATCTTCATTATTATACAAATTATTTTTCATATGCACACTTGAACTGCGTTGGCACCAACCCAATGAAAAATAATTTCGAAAATATAAACATTCAAAGAATAAAAAATAAATAAATAAAAATCTTTTGAAGAAAGGATACCGAACCCAATAAGGGCTGCCTACGTATCTCATTGATGAGAATTAGGTTTGCGTAGTTCTTTCAAATATGACATAAAATTCATAAACAACAAATTACTTTTTGAAAGGAAAAATAATGAGAATAAAAACCAATGAGTCACATTGAAAGGCGGGCAACCCGAATTGAACAAAATATTTTTTAATTATTTAAAAAGGAAATTAACAAGAATGAAGGAATCAGTGGATCACATTGAAGGGCGGACCACCCAAATTTAACAAAAGTAACAAAAATAAAATAAGAAAATAATGAGTCGCGTTGAAGGGAGGACTACCCAAACTCTTAAAAAAAATGTCAATTAAACTAATTTTTTCAATGGAGTATTATAAAAATCAAAGATATACAATGAATGTGACATCATGTACAAAAAATTAATGCAAAATATACAAATCAACTCGGAGTGAAGCCTCATAAATTTTAGAGTTTGCGTACAAATTTGTTGAAAATTTTTAGGGCATTCCTTGAAAATTTTTCCCCTATTTCAGCTTCAACAACCTCCAGTATTTAATCTTGTACTATCTCCTTTATAAAAATTTTGGAGACCTCCTCAAAAATTTTTGCCACAGTTTCCGTTTTCAAATTTTGGAAAGCTTACAGGGAAGATGACCGAGCCTTTAGGGCGCCTACGTATCCCATTGAAGTAGGAATCAGGTCAAACGTAGTTCCAATATATTCTGACTCAGATAGAGAATGGACTGCGATTATGAATGTTCAAAAAATAGCTGACCAAGAGTGGTTTTGAATAACAGGGGACCCAAGCGGACAACTTAGGCTGGAACTCACAACAACCATTGGACGCATGACGAACCAATAAATTGTCAATCATTCCAAAAAAATGATCGAGTATAGAAAAGTCTGATCTGCGGTTCCGCAAAATCATTCTTTAATATACTATACATATGTGTTGAAAAATGTCATTAATGCAATGACAATATACAATAAATAATGAAAGAATAATGAGTATAATATGCAAATGATTACCAAAAAATACAAGATATAATGAATAACACAATAAAAGAATAGTATCCTCAATTCGGAAAGATAAACCCAAAATAGTTAGAACCTCTAATTTTCCAACGGAGTTGCCATTCTGTTGACATCCTTTGAATGGAGCAACGTCGCGGAAGCTCAATTAAAAAAAAGAACTTTAAAAAATTATAAAAGGTTTAAAAAAAAGGTTAAAAGGGGTGAAAAGGGGTAAAAAGATTAAAGGGATTAATGGGGATTAAAGGGAAAAGGGGGTCGCCACCTTGTTTTTAGGAAAACTAGGAAACCAATTAACTAATTAACTTAAAAGAGATTCTACGAAACCAATTTGATTCTAGGTAAGGGGTTCAAGTTATTCCGAAGGGAATGGGTTAGGCACCCTTCGAAATCCACAACTATGGTTCCCGACTGAGTTCATTTTTTCAAATTGAGGAGATAACAATAAAATATCAGTAATATAATATACAATAAATAATAATAATAAAATAAAACAACAACATGAGAAACGACCTAAGGTTTGCCTAGCATCTATATCTTCAAAATAATGAATTGTAAGATACAATTCGAACTCCTTGCGAATAACTTCAATGAAACAAGTCTTGGGTACCTGTAAACACACTTAGTAAAAGTGTTAGTAATGAATAAAATTGAATATATGAAATAATACTTTAAAAACAAAAATCCGTCTTAACATGGGAGGCCTTGGAAATCGACGGTAATTTCTTCATCGGCCCATTTAACAAATATATTTAATATAACCTGAACATCAACAAAATATAACAATCTTATCACAAGAGAATATGGAAAACAACAACCCAACTAAAACAACATAATTAGAAATGGAAACAACAATAACGTAAAATATAAATATTAAAAATAACATTAAAATAGAATAATAACAAAACCCTGACAAGTTAAGATAGCATATAGTTGACTAACAATTTCAAAGAATAATAATAATAAATAAATAAACATCAAACCATAAAATAATGCTAATATTAAAACTACAATAAACACAAATATTAATTGACTTTTAGAACTACATTAAACTAAAAAAAAACAAGCTACATATAATAAATAGAAAACGTAAAAAAGCTGGGAATCAAATAAAACAAGGCTAAGAAAAAAAATTTACCTAAATCTGGGCAGCGAACCAAAACTACGAGTTTGAGGGAGACGACTCTACCTCCTCAACTCGAAAAATCACAAAAAACACTTTAAAATTTTGAACTATGGAACCAAGAATTCTCAAAATTTTATGGGTACTCTTTGGTCTTCCCCTCCAAAATCCTCCTCTAAAAATAGTGAATGAAGTGGATTTATATAGAAACCCAAAAATCCTCAAAAAGGATGAAATACCGATGTGGGACTATTGCAAAATTGAAAATTGTTTGAGAAACGATGTGGGAAAGACAAATTTTTTATTGGACTCAAAATGTATATATTTTAAACCATCGGACCAAAATTTGGTGTCAACACTAGTAAAAAACATGGAGGAATGAGAATGTTATAGAGTAGAGTTTAAAAAATATTGATGATGTACCTCGTGTTTCTCATGATGACATTTCACATTCTAAGTAAACTGATCAGAACGAAGGAGTTGGTGCACAATGAACATACTAAAAAAAATTATCAATGTCAGTAAAAATACCTTTCTTCCTCACTTTAGTAATCTTTATCCCAATCCTTATCCTCAAATTTTAGACTCTTTGACTCTTTGATATGCTTATGTCTGTCTCAGACACATGATATCATATGCTCTTTATTTAGGGCTCTAAGGGCTTAAACTGATACATATTTGTTTATTCTGTTTCTCATTGAAGATCTTAATTGTGTATGCATTTTACATGACTAATATCCTCAGATTAACTAACCATTTTGTTAGCAGAAGTGTAGTTTAAAGTGTTGCTCAAGTGACTATGAGTTAAAAATGATATTGCACTCATTGAATGTTATTAGAGTTCTTTAGTTATTGGTTTTCAGTGATGTCAAAAGGGGAAAATTATATAATATGGATAAACATAAACATAGTTTGTCATCATAAAAAAGGGGGAAATTGTTGGGGAATGAGAAAACATGAAGATTGTAGTTTTGATGGATGACAAATAGTTATAGTTTTGATCACTAAAAAGGAGTCTTGATGTGTAATAAATCATTGTTTATCGTCATATAAAAGGGAAAAAATGTTGGGAAGTAGGAGAACATATAAAGTAGTTTTGATGATTGATAAAGTGAAGGCAAGGTTCGCTACTTATTGTCGTATGTGTACTCTATCTGCAGATAACCTGTACAATTATGAGAGATTGTGGCAAAGAGCAACAAGTAATATGATGACATATTGGAAGAAAATACATATACATACAGATAAGAAAAAGGAAATCAAGCAAAACGTGTGAAATCAAGCAAAACGTGTTGAAAGCCAAAGTTGAACAAACAATGCTCAAAGTTCAAGTTGAAACGAATAAGGAAACTTGAAGTCGTATATTACTGCTCAGTGTAATATGGTTAGCACGTTCTTGATTAGCAAGTTTTGATGATAGACATATACACATCAGTGTAGAAACAAACCACTATGCAGATTAGGCAAATACACGTAATTGTAAAAGATGGAAACAAATATAGAAAGAAATAAAGAAGGAAAGAAATAAAAAAAAGTAGCAATTCAAATAAAAAAATGAAAGAAACAATAAAGTTACCGTTTAAGTCAAATAAAGAAAGAAGTAAATATTCACAAATTCAAGAAGGAAAAAGATTTGTAATTCCTTTCCTTTTAGAAGTTGAAGGCAAACCAAATCTATAAAAGGAACGAGAAGTTGAAGGAAAAAAACGTCATTGCATAAATACAAATCGAGAGAGTTTATCAGCAAAGCAAGAACAATAGTCATTGCATATTCACGAAATATATCATCTTGAGAGCAGTATTTAATGGAGAAAAAAATGCAGCCTTCATCACAACAACGTAAGGACCAGGTTCACCTTCATCACAACAACGTAAGGACCAGGTCCACGTATCTGTTTCACTCAGAACTATTGAATGTGGAAGTCTAATAGTCTAGGGTTATTAGTCTTTGTTGATTTATTTTAGGTTTATTATTGAGTTGTAGTAATTCCTAGATTGTGTAACAAGAAGTGGGTTTGACTTCTTGGGAGTAGAGTATTGAGAGAATTGTAACAAGAAGTGGGTTTGACTTCTTGGGAAAGCGGTTGTGAGAATTGTAAACAAGATGTGGGTTCTAACTTTTTGGGTGGTTAGAGTTAAGAAGACTTGAGAGTTTTTGTAAACAAGAAGCGAGTTTGACTTCTTGATGAGTAGGAAGTTTTCGATTATAGTTAATCGAAAAGGGCAGAAGCTCAGAGTTAGATTCATTGATTAACTGAGTTGTAAATCTTTAATTAATATAAAACTTTGATGTGATATTTCCCTTCCTTGAGTTAGGAAGGTTTCCACGATAAATCTTTGTTTTATTGTGTTGCGATAGAATTAATACAACCTGATTCTTGTATCGGGGTAAGGTTTTCTTCACAACATATACACATAAAACAGCCTCAAGTATTTTTTATCATAGCAACCAAATATTGAAATCACCATTCCTTGAGTTTTCAAAAATAACACACCCATAATTCTTTACTCGGACAAAAATAGAGCAATAACTCTACCTCAAGTTATGCAACTTATCGTTTTAACTTGAAATCTTCAAGAACTTCAACCCCCCTCCACACTTAAACCAAAGAAGAAGATAAAAGTATTTTAATAACCAAGAAAACTGAGTAGTGTGTTACGGAAACATTCTGCCTTTATGCTTATACTTAAGCATAAATAATATGATTTGCTTATGTTCCATGGGAAAATTAAGCTAAATCCATAAGTGAGCTCACTTACCTTGTCTTGTAAAGATGACAGTTTCTTCAAGAACCCTAGAAGGAATTTTATGGTTGTTGTTTAATACTTGAAAGAAAAGGCAGAGAGGGTTGATGTTAATTCTTAATTTTGCATGTTAGAATGAGCAGAAATATCAAGCAGTATTTATTTTATGTTGGGATTTCTTGACCCTTAAGAAATCCTTTAGAACCTCCCCTTTTATCTCTATTTTCAGCCATTAACAGCTCAAAGTAGGTAATTCATCTACTTGTCTTTTCTTAGTTGGGCGTACTTAAATTTCCCCTTGGCAGATTAGGCTATTACATTTTGGATAAATTAGCTAACTAGTCAAACTTCCTAACTTTATTATAAAAAATGTCTACACTTTAAAATAATTATTAAAAATGTCAAAATGTCAATATTTTAAAAAATAAAGTGTATCCTAATACAATTCATTTATCTTTCTTTTTATTTCTGAAATTGGGCCTACTTTTTGACTCTTTTACATGTGAAAGACATAATAAAAGACTTCACTACCCACTTTTCACTCTCTAAATTTTTTATCCAAATTTCATCCTTCTTCTTTCGCTCAAGATTTCTTTCATTATTTCGTATTCTCAAGTAATTAAACCTTGCTTTTAAAAAAATCAAAATCCTCCATTTTCCTAAGAAATCTTAGAAATCATTCAAAAGATTTTCAACTTTTGTCGAAGTATTGAGATACAAAAATATTTTGTATGTTGGATATAGATATGGAAGAAGTACCAAGTGAAGAAGTGTCATCATTAAAGTGTCAATATTAGGATAATCATTGAAAAGTATTAAATTAGATTTGGAAGAGGTATCAGGCGAAGAAGTACCGTCAATATTTGGAAAGTTGATGAAATTGTTGAAGATCAAGATGAAAAAAAACTTTATGGCATGTTGCATTTCGTATCTAAACTATAAAATGGTATTTTTTTTTTATTGTTTTTATTGTCTGTTGCATTTTGTATTCATTCTAACTATATGTCAATAAGTTTCATTTTTTTGGTGCTCACTTTGTATTTCAATATCACTTTGTTTGCCAACAAATTTTGTATTTCTTTTTTTAGTATGTATTCATTCTAAAATCTTCTTCACTACAAGCAAAAATCTAAAATCAATCGACTTCAATTCGACATAGATTGAGTATTTTCCATGGAGTGCTAAAAATAAATGGGAATTTGATCAGGAATGAGGGAGATAAAAGTCATGTTGATTGTGGAACCAAAAATGTATAATAGGAAAGAGATTTTACAAATTTTAATTCCAAAAATAAAGATTGAAAGAGTGTAAGAGTAGTGAAAAAGAACTAGGCCGACTTAAAGCTATACTAAAATTATGATTAATAATTCTGGTAACTTTTTTGGTTTATATTTAAAAGTTAACTTATATGAAATATTATTTCCTATGGTTTTTCTGCATTATGTTATTAACTAATTTTTAAATTAAACAAATGACAAGAATACATAAATCAATAATATAATAAACTAAAATATTGACATCTTTAATAACTATTGAAATTGTGGCTATCAGGTCTCATTAAATGTTAAAATATGTTTTTTTTGAAAAACTTCTCTTATTTTCAAAGAATAGATAACAAAAATATATATTGTAGTAGTTTCCCATATTTTAGAAGAATATATAATAACAATATAATTTTGTAATGAGACTTTTAAGGAATTGTTCCTTTTTAAAATAATTCTCTCCCCTAAATTTCTCCTTTTTGTTCTTTAACAATTTATCATGCCCCGAGCCTACACCTTGGACGTGGCTGACACCCAATGACCATTGTTGGCCATGAGCGAACCCTTGGTCTGACTTACTTAACTTAGGGGAAGACTTAACTCAATCATGAAGCAAGAAACATTCTCAAAAGAATTACTTAAAATGAAATAGCTTGGCCAAACTGACACTCATAATAAAATATTGTAAATAATGAGAGACTCAAAACTAAAATGTTTGACTGTCTATCTGTCTATGAAGCCTCTATAATACTAAGATGGATGTTGGGATAGACCCCATAATATCCTATAAAAGAAGTAATGAAAATCATGTAAATGTGTCCTCCAAAATGCAAGGAGGCTCACCACTGACTTCGAGTGCTTAGTTGGATCAACGAGGCACTAGGTGATGTTGATCCTGGTTACCTGCATCTACATCATAAGACGATGCAGGTCAACTGGCATCAGTACATTGAATTTATGAGTATGCGAGTTGGAATGCTAAACAACAACTTAAGCTCGAAAATAATAAAAAGAAACACTTACCTTAGTTCTGCTCAACTCATGAAATACTGAACTTAAATCAAGTAATAATGACATACGCAATATATATAAAGCTTGTAAAACACTTTAAACAACTCAGTTCGTTTAAGAAAATGCAATAACAAACTCAACTTTACTTATTTATGAAAGTAATATAGTTTCTATGGGAGATTCTCTAATCGACAACCATCACTATGAGCCTAAGTGATGGTACAACGTTTTACCTCACGTTGCAAAAGGACCGTCCTATATATACCTTGCTTTCAGTATAGAACCTGAACTACTAAGTGGGTCCACTAGTCCATGCTAAAAAGCACTATGGATTCATCTAAATAGTATGACCCTTCTTCTGTCCATGTTGACTACATGGTTTATGGGGGCTTGGGTTAATAAGAACTCGCATCCCCATATCGATGCTCAATACTACTCCCAAAATACTTAGCTCATATGTTTTTAAAACAACTTTTTCTCTGGTTTGAGGTAATTTCTCAAACTTAACTTTAAAAGCTCTCTTGGAACTCATACTTTCCTCTTTATTAAAAATAGCCAAGGGCTTCCTTTCTTGCTCAAAATATGAAAACATTTGTAACTCTTAGGGAATACTTAGTTCCTATATAAATTTAAAGAAATAAACTAACTCTTTACTCTTTGCTTAACTTAAAACTTGAGCCTTAAAACAAAGTTAAAACGTTAGTTAAAGACTGTTGAAAACTTCTAAGAATTTACTTTGACTTGCTTCTTAACTTTTAAACTTGACTCTTAACTTCTTTGACTTTGACCTTAACTTTTCTTGAATTGGATTATGGGTTAAAGGTTCATGATTTCATGTTTATGGATTATTTCATGATGTTTAGTTCTACTTTAGAGTGTTGGAATCACCTAAGAAATGTGGGTACATCACTTAGGAACTAGTACCAAAGAGTGGAGAATGAATGGGGGTGAACTGGTGTCCTTGGCACTCTGAAAGGCGTGGGGCGCCAGGCCCCAGACTTCAAAGGCCAAGTTGGGGCTCTCTAGCTGGTGCGCCGCCCCAAGGCCCTACGGACAAAGACTGTCTTGTGGGGCTATGGAGGAGTGTCACCCCAGGGCTCTAAGGACAGGCATTTCGACTTTTCTTTTCTATTTTTAATCTTTAAACCCTCTAAAACTCGATGATGATTTCCCCCAAACACTTAGAATCACTAATACCCTAAATACACAATAGATTAGACTCAAAAACAACCAGGAAACAAGAATTAAATCAACTCTAGGCATGCAACAACAACTCAACCAACAAGTATTCAACAATATTCTTTCAGAATTTCACTTTTCATCTTTCAATCTACTAAAAATTGCTAAATTAATAAAGTTGGCGTGTGGGTTAACTAACCAAACATGAAAAGATCTCACATACCTTTATAGGGATCACCCCCGACGAATTCCACTCGCAAAACCTTAGCGTTCTTGACGAATCCTTGAGTTTTTTTTCTTCCTTTTCATTCTTCTCTTCTCTTTTCTGCAAGCCCTAAGCATAAAATAACTTTTCAAATCTGAACTAAAACTTATTCTTACCCCAAATAAATTCCTAAATGAAATAGGAAATAAATAGGTGGAAAAACTAGTTCGCCCTTACTTAAATTCGGAATTGGACTTTCCTTATTTCAACAACCCAACTTTCGATAGGCATATCTCCCTCATACGATATAAAAAATGCACAAAGTTGGCGGTGTTGGAAAGATCTCTCTAAGGGGTTTCCAACCTAATCAAGAACTGACTCTAATTCATCCTGACCTAGAATTTTTGACCATTTGAAAATAACCAAAAATGCACTTCCTTAACTTGAGGAAATTTTCTAGATTTCTCCTTTTCTTGTCAAAGTGATAAATTTTAGTTTCTTAGCTTATTCTTGGATATTACGAGTTATGAGATGTTACACAATTGTATTCTTTCAATTAAGAGAAATAATAAAACCTAAATAAGGTACATAATAAATTGAAATTTTTATATTTTTACTAATTACTGAAACTGTTGACATTGTTTTTTCTTACTTAATTTGGGCCTCAAATGAGTCCATTAACATGGCCTAAATCTGACCCATTAGCCTTGAGTCCTTTAACTAGATCCATATAGCTCAAGTAGGTGATGCACCTAGTAACTTAATTAAACCAAACAGGCAGCTCAATATTTTATTCCTTTATGTAAATCTGAATTTCTTTTGCTTTAACTTAAACTTTGAACTTTAAGCTCGATTACCATCTTGCTATCTTGATTTTCAATATTTCAATCAAACTAAACTTGGCAGTATGCCTATTGAAACATGTGGGGGCATCACAACACCTTCCGATCTAATTCAAATCATCACTGCTCAATTAAGTACCTTGTTCTCTCACCTAGATGATCGGGCTATGTTGAGTGTCAAGTGAATAGAACCACTATATGCATAACACATGGTATTATAATTTTGGACTTCTAAATTTAAATCGAACAAATGTCATTTATCTAAATATGCACTTGAAAAAATTTGAAGAAAAGATGTGGACATGTGGTGAGGAGTATAATATTTGTGTAATCAAAATTTATATGACACCATTGGAATTTTAAAATTTAAAGTTTTAAATTTTGTTCATGAATTTAAACATAGATGCTGTAAAATTTTAGAAATAAAATTTAAGTATTTAAAAACTATGTCGTAATTACTATTAATCAAAATAATTATACAACATGAAATAGTTTCTAAAAAATATATATAAAATATCTGGATCAATAAAAACATGATTGACCTCTTGTAAAACATAAAATAATTACATAAATTGAGACGGAGATAGTAATTGTTATGATAGTTCCAGCTAAGCTAGCAACTAGCTACTTTAAATATTATAATATAGGGATAATGCCCATGTACCCCCTCAACCTATGTCCGAAATCTCAGAGACACACTTATACTATACTAAGGTCCTATTACCCCCCTGAACTTATTTTATAAGTAATTTTCTACCCCTTTTTAGCCTACGTGGCACTAGTTTGAAAAAAAGTCAGTCATCGTTGGACCCATAAAATAGTGTCACGTAAGCTAAAAAGGGGTAAAAAATTATTAATAAAATAAGTTCAGGGGGGTAATAGGACCTTAGTATAGTATAAGTGTGTCTCTGAGATTTCGGGCATAGGTTGAGGGGGTACTTGGGCATTATCCCAAAAGAAAAACATGAAGAACTATCCGAGTCCACAGAATCCACTATTTCTCCTTATGAAATTTAATTCCCTAAAGTACCCAAGGTTGCAGATAAATTTCTCACAAGATACAACGGATTAACCATTAAAGAAGTAACAGTTGCTTAAACTTCAATAATTTCAACGAACTCAAATGACAGCAACGAATCACACAGACACGATCTATCGATTTTGTTTTATAAGAAATGTATGCAATATGAGGAAAGAATTTGATGCACAAAACGAAAGAAAATCTCTCTATTTATAGCCAACAAAAGGTAAATGTCACAACTCTTTGGAAATAAGACAACCTTTCAGAAAAAGGCACAACCCTTTAGAAAAGACAGAATTTTTCATAAAGGTCACAACCTTTGGACAAAGTCACAACCCTTTAACACTTTGTTTGGGTCATTGTTACCCATTGTTTCATAATATATTGTATTGTATTGAACTCTATTGTACTGTATTGTATGGTAGATACAATGTTTGGTTAGATTGTATTGTTTGTTGTAATATTTTAATTGTTTGGTTTGATTGTATCGTATTGTATTGTAATTTATAAATTTACTTAAATATTCTTAATTATTCTAGGGTAGGAGGTTTGACTAGATTTAAATAATTAAGGTAAAGGGTAAAATAGTATTTTGAAATATTATGTAAAGATATAATTGGAAAAACAAATTAAGTAACAATGGGAACACACCAAATTGGTTGTTCCATAAAATAGGGGTTTCCACTGTTATGTAACAACAAAATTTAACAACACAATACAATCCATTTTAAGTAACAATCAAAACAATCATTGTAGGTATACTAACAATACAATACAATACAATGGCTAACAATGATCCAAACATAGTGTAAGAGAGTCGCAACCCTTCATTTCTTGTTCACACCTTTAGACCTAACATCATGTTCTATTAGGCTACTCAAAATTAAGAAACTTAGTATTTTAGAATAGCTATTACGATTCATATTTTAAATTGTTTGACTCTCAAGAAACGAAATGTGTCAGATAGATATTTTGACTTCATGTTTCACTTTTCTTCTTTCCTCTTTTTGTTTGAAAAGGAAAAACAAATAAAAACAGTCGACCAATTAAAGTTAAGGCAAGATGCTGTACTTACTCAGTAATTTGTTTTTGAAATTCAGAGTATCTTGTTAAAAGAAACTCAGTTAGCTTTTCCCCTGTTATTTCAACAGCTGAGCAAGTATATCTCCCTTTTGCATTAGGATTTTCAAAAAGGAAAATGTGAGCATTTGTCACATCATCTACATGTACAAAAGGTACAATTGGAGGATAACTCATACTAAAATTTTGATGACCTGCACAAAAATTTTTAATTACAATTAAGTAGAACATATATATTATATATATACGTTGAGAAAATGAAAAGTTATGATATTTTAAGACGTAGCAAGAATCATTTTCATCGATGAACGAACAGAGCCAGGAATTTGAGGAGTAACAAAAGGTACCATGTATCCAAGTTGGAATTACAGTCACAAGATCAATACCATTTTTTTCAGCAAATCCAAGAGATGCTTTTTCTGTTAATGTCTTACTAATCGCGTAACAACTTGCAAAAGGCTTCAATGTTCTCATAACATCTACATCTATCCACGAGCATTCATCAATTATGACGTTGGAACTTCCAGTACCCACAACGGTTGATGCACTACAAGTGTATACAACGTGTTTAACTGTTTTTGAATCGAGATATGCCTGTAAAATACCTATTGTCCCATTAATTGATCTTTGTGTTATTCTTTCTTCTGTTTCTTTGTCTTCAAAATCAATTGGATGTGCAACATCAAATACACCGATGCAGCCTTCAATTTGGTGCATTGAAACTTTGTGGTTTGTGTAGATCAACATTAAAAATATTTAATCTTTCGTGTGCACCTGGGAGATTTCTGAGGTAGCTCACATCCTTCTTGCCATCTACAATCAATGATAGTTAGGCTAAAAAGATATATAATTTTAACTGGACAACAATGACATAAATTAGTTATACTCTGTTCAGTATATTTCTTCATCAACCATCATTGAAGTGTGAAAAGGTATATCTCAATTATTTTTTTCCTTTAGTTTAATTTTTTCTAATCATGTGTTTGAAATACTTGAATATCTTAATAAGTTTTATTTTAAAAGCTATTTTATTTATTTGAGTATTGATCAACTATTTTGGTGTATTGTGGATGATTTTTAGTAAGTTTGATATACTTGACTACTATTCCAGTTTGGAGTTCAATGAGTTTGGAGAAAGATTTTTTTAGAGTATCCAAAACAAGTTTGGCACCTCAAAATCAACTAGGTCGAGATGAAAATGTCAAGCAAATACACGACTAGCAAGGTTTATATTTTTACTTGTCCTAATGTATGAACAGTCTTGGCAACAATTCTGGCTTCGTCACTGTCTGTTCTAGTTTATGTGGAGGTACTATTAAAAAAAATTAGTATTTCTTTTAAATATTTTAAAGGAAAAATGCACAAGTACCCTCTCAACCTATGCCCGAAATTCCAGAGACACACTTATACTATATTAAGGTCCTATTACCCCCTGAACTTATTTTATAAGTAATTTTCTACCCCTTTTAGCCTACGTGGCACTAGTTTGAAAAAAAAAAAGTCAACCATCGTTGGGCCCACAAGATAGTGTCACGTAGGTCGAAAAGGGGTAAAAAATTATTAATAAAATAAGTTCAGGGTAGGACCTTAATATAGTATAAGTGTGTCTCTGAGATTTCGGGCATAGGTTGAGGGAGTACTTGGACATTATCCCTATTTTTAATTATTGATTATTGTGACTTATATTATTCTTATTTGGGGAAAATGCACCCTAGACTATGATTGAAATTTCAGAGACACGCCTTAACTAAATAAGGTCCTATTATTCTTCTAAACTTATTTATTTCGTAATTTTATACACCTTTTGTTTTACGAGACACACTCCGTGACTCCACGCAATTGATGGCGTGAGAGATATTTAGATGCCACATAAGACAAAAAGGTGCACAAAATTACAAAAAAAAGATAAGTTCAGGGGGTAATAGGACCTTAGTTAGTTAAGGTGTTTCTCTGAGATTTCGGTCATAGTCTAGAGGGTACTTGTGCATTTACCCTTATTATTTTAAAAAATAGTTTACAAATATACAAATTTCATTTCTTAAAAAATAAAAAAAAATATAAACAAATTTTTGATCAAGCTTAATTGACACTTGAAAAATAATATGCATCACATAGATTGAGACAAATGACACAAATAGATGTTTGTAGTAGTTCTTTCTCCAAAAATAAATTAGCTAACCTACAAGACAAGGACACCTTTGATGAAGTGAAGAATAGGATATGTTGAATTATTGTTTTGTAAATGCAGCTAGGGATGCAGATATTTCTCCTAGGCAACAATGAAACAAAAAAAAAAGAAGCTTGGAAGAAAAAATAGTTGGGACGGTAAGATGACTAAGGAGTTTCTTCCAAGGCACCTACCGATGCGACTGATAAAGCAGAATCACATGACAGTGTCAACAACTTTACGAGATCCAATAAATCTAAGAAGATTTGATGAACTATCAAATATTGTTAGACAGATTTGAAGCAGAAGACAAGAGAAAAACACTCCAAGTTACTTTAGAAGGGCAATCTATCTTTTTTAGTTCATACTTTTGTAACATTAAGTTTGAGTTTAATCACTCAAATCTCATCATGGCTTTATACTTTTGTACTACTTAAGCATTCTCATTTGTAATATCATCATACATTGTATTATAAACTCTATGATGATCATACAATACTTAGTTCTCTCTAACTTTTGTTTTCTTCATGCGATTTAATTAGTAAAGGTATTGTACCTCATTACAATTGGTAAGGTAAGATTTGCCCCTTTTACTTGTATTTATCTCTGTTGAGGTTTTCTTTTTAAATAAAAATAATAATAATAAAATGACTACTCCGATCGTTTATCCCCTCCAACTTACCTCCCACCCCACCTTCCCCTTTCTTGAAGGCACATACTCTTTTGAAATCCCCTTTTGTTCTTCCTTCACTTTGTTTTTTTCTTTTCAATTTTTTTTTTGTGTCGTAGATTTGATTTGGACAAATATTCTATTGATACTATCTTTATATGAGGGTCTAGGGCTCTTCTTTTATTTTCCTTTCATTTCACATCTTGCCTTTTCATGTTCTTATAATAAAAATTAAATTAGTCTAATGTTTTTTATTTTTATTATTTTCTTTATATTATGTTTTGTAAAAATATTTATCAAGATCTTTTCACGATGGAGGTGATTTAGGGGGCAGGAACAAAAATGAAAGCAAAGAGGCGCGATAATATTACATTAAAAATTGTTCCTCACGCACTAAAAATGAGTGAAATACGCCTGTCACTAAACATAAAGCATTAAAATAACACACATCAAACCTTTACTTAAAGTATTTAAAATAATCAAAACCTACTTAACGTGAGTCTCAACTTTAAGATATGTCAATGATAATACATCAAAAATGATTATTAGCGGCAATTAAATATGTATTTTTAGTGGAAAGATAATTAACACTCTTGGTATATGTGCCTAAAACCTTTAGCAACATTAGTTCTAATAACACTTAACAAATGCCGACAAAAACTTTAGCAATCTTTATTAATATCAATATTTAATGCTACTAAAAATTATTTTTATTTTAGTGTAAGCTCCGCTTAAACACCATGCCATCACAAAATAGAAATGGAAGTTACTCCGTTAAAGAGTGATTAATTGTGCATACACAAAGTAAAGAAACGTAAACTTAAGCGCCAATTACATGATAGATTTATATTACTCGATATGATGAGCTTACGAAAGATTTAAAGTAGAATTAAACAACTAAGAAATTACCTCTAATAGTTGTGTTAACATAATAACCAATTTGAAGAAGTCTCATAACCATCCATGATCCAAGATAACCACTTCCTCCTGCTACACATACCTTTCCTTTCTCCTTCAACATCACTTCTTCCATATCTCCTTTATTCATCTCTTCTTTCTTTTCCTCTCTCTCTCTTTCTCTCTATGTAGTGGTTATAGGTCAAAGTGGTTTGAAAACAAGGACAAGCTATTATCATTTACCTATTGGTCATTACCTCACCTTTTAAAATTGGCCACACATCCCACTAACATGATTGAAATTGAAATAATATATAAATATGACCGTTAACTCGATTTCAGCGGATAATTATGTCCTCTAATTTTGAGTGTGAACAATTAAATGCTTAAACATGTATAAAATTAAACAAGTAAACACATGTGTCTTACATAACATAATACATGTAAGACATAAAATTGCAATGTCGGGTGCCATGTAGCATGAATGTGTATTTATTTAACTTTATATAAGTTTAAGTGTCTACTTGTGCACACCCAAAGTTAAAGGTCATAGTTATCAACTGACGTCAAGTTATGGGTCATGTTTATGTATTATGCCATTGAAATATGTCATAAATATGTGTTTTAACTTCATCTCAACTAATATTTATGTTTTTTTAGTTTTACGTGTGTACAAATAGGTATTTAATTTTTTTATATATAAAATTAAGCAAGTAAACCACATACATTTCTATGACATAATACAGGTGGAGGACATATATTGTCACGTAACACGCCAAATAGGACAAATATATCTACTTGTTCAACTTTATGTAAATTTAAATATTTATTTATATACAAGAAAAATTAAAGAAACAAATATCAAATAAAATCAAATTAAAAAAACATACTTATATATCACGTATAGACTAAAGTATTCACTATTCTGAGATAGTATCACAGCTGGGAAAGCAAAATGTTTTATTTTTTATATTAAGAAGTGTGAGAAAAATTAAACTATAAAATGGAACACTTTTATGGTTATTACGTGTAGGAAAATAAATATGCATTTTTTAATAACAATAACAATCGAAAATATAGAATTAACTTATATTGAACTTTGAGTTAACCAACAAATTTTCATTAATTTCTTTTTCTAGGTCTTGTCTAAACTTGATGCGTTTGATCGAGGTAGATGTACTTGTTGGGTTCATTGTAATGTGTGAATAGATAATTTAATAAGAAGTGTGAGAAAAATTAAACTATAAAATGGAACACTTTTTTATGGTTATTACGTGTAGGAAAATAAATATGCATTTTTTTTTTAATAACAATAACAATCGAAAATATAGATTTAACTTATATTGCAAATTACTTTGAGTTAACCAACAAATTTTCAATCATTTCTTTTTCTAGCTCTTGTCTAAACTTGACGCGTTTGATCGAGGTAGATGTATTTGTTGGGTTCATCGTAATGTGTGTAGATAATGGTACATAAAATAAAGATTAACGAATTAAGAAATGTGAATGTGTTGTAAGTATGAATACTGAAGTTATTTCGTTCATGAATACTCAAATGAATTCAATTTTTCATATTTTCATGCAGACTTTCGTATTTCTAGGTTACCTTTGTAAGATTTAATATTATTATTATTAGTAATTATTTCTTACTTATGACCCAAGTTTACTTGTAATCCAAGTAATATCATAAATAATATTTAATAAGGAATATATCTCATTCATACATTGATTACTTGATGGACGTACCAGATTAAATCATAACCTCTATAAATTGATCCTCCCTCCACCCGTTAGGGTCATCACATATTATTTATAATAATTTTATCGCTGACGGTTGTGATAACATAAAGTTAGAAAAAGGAGGTAGAAACTAATTTATGACTAACACTTCCTCTTTCCTCTGTGATGATGTATTCCTCATTAGGTATGTGCTCCTAACGATCTCTATGTAAGAGTATCATGTTCAAGATCCTGATATTATGTTATTCTAGTACTTTAATCTTATTTGTGGCATCAGAGTCTGAATTGTTTGAACATATAATCTTCATAAATTATACAACCGCATCAGCCTTGGTAGGGTAATAAAGAGTAATTACCGCCCACCATTCCTAAATGAATAAATAATTTTTTTTTAGATTGCACAAATTCTTAAAATTTTAATTTATCCCATAATGTAACAATTATGTTCGCTTTTAGATTGTGCAATAAATTAAAGTGATCGTTATATTAAGTAATAAATAATATGTGTGTACTTAGTGCAATATAGTCTGTTAGTCACCAAAGTGACCAAGCTAGAAAATTAATGTTTACACATATAATATTTATGTTCACTTGATATATATGGATTAGTACAATTCATTATTTTTTGGCATATTTAATATTCCAAGAGAAACTGAGTCTGATTTTTCAACTTGATGCATGTATTATCTTTTTATAGTTTGTTTCTCACCAAAGTGATCAAATTAAAATGTTTAAAATTATTCACATTTACAAAAAAAATTATGATGTTATGTGTACTTTATATTTCTATAGTTTGTTGGTCACCAAAGTGGTCAAACTAAAATGTTTAAAATTATTCACATACACAAAATTTTACGATATTATGTGTCCTTTGTATTTATATAGTTTGTTAGTCACCAAAGTGGGCAAACTAGAGAAAACTAATGTCTACACATATCATGTTTATGATCACTTGATGTATTATGTTTCTATAGTTTGTTAGTCACCAAAGTGGTCAAACTAAAATGTTTAAAACTATTCACATGCACAAAAGTTTATGATGTTATGTGTATTTTGTATTTATATAGCTTGTTAGTCACCAAAGTGGCCAAACTAAAGAAAATTAACGTTTTATACATATCATGTTTATGATCACTGATGCATGTATTATGTTTCTATAGTTTGTTAGTCACCAAAGTGGTCAACTAAAATGTTTAAAATTATTCACATGCACAAAATAATATGAGTTTATGTATGCATTTGTTTTCATAAAACTTGTTAGTCACCAAAGTGGCCAAACCAGTATGATTAAGAAAAATATGCACTCATAAAATTGTCATTTATCTATGACGGTTAATTAAATGTCTATACTGAAAAATAAATAGATAAATTGACTTTCACTATTGCTAGAACTTAAAAATCTTACCCAAAGGTGAATCTACCATTCTACAAATAGTAAAAAATTATGAGGTAAATTCATAATTTCAATTAAACATATATTGTATATCCAAAGATGTATATGTTTGGTTAAAATTATTTAATTGTCTATTAAAGATTATAAAAATTACATTTAAATTATTATAGTGTGTTGTAGTATCTACCCAGAGGAGAATTACGATGTAGTTTTATCGTGTTACTGAAAACACATTATTTTTTATATGTGAACATGTATCTATTTGCAGCATGCTTCGTCTGTTACTGTGTTCAATGGATTGAACTTCTCTGAATGTCATGAACAAGTCAAGTTTCACTTAGGTGTGATGGATCTTGACTTAGCTCAGCTGAATGACAGACCTACTGGCATTACTGATAAGAGCAGCAAGGATGAGAAATCTTTTCATCAATCATGAAAAAGCTCTAACAGATTGAGCCTAATGTTCATGCGAATTACTATTGCTAACAACATTTAGAGTACTATTTCAAAAACAAAAGGTGTCAGGAAACATCTAAAGTTTGTGGAAAAATGTTTTAGTTCTGTTGATGAGTCTCTCACTGGTACACTAATGGATGAACTCACAGCCATGAAGTTTGATAGGCCGTGTAGTATACAAAATCAAATCATCGTGATGACTAACGTTGCAGCAAGACCGCGGACATTGGGGTTAAAAGTGGATGATACCTTCTTAGTTCAATCTAATTTGAACTCACTGTCTCTTGAGTATGGACCATTCCAAATTATACTATAATACTATTAAGGTTAAGTGGGATGTTAGTAAATTATCCAGTATGTTTACTCAAGAGGAGTCAAGACTTAAGAAATAAAGAGGTCATTCCATTAATATCATGGGTCAAGGAACTAGTAAAGAACTTAAAGTGAAAGCCAACAAGTTTAAGAAAAAAGAAAGCATCTGTTAAAGTTTCATAGGATGCTTATAAGGAACTCAAGATTGATGCGTGTCGTTTCTGTAAAAGAAAGGACATTGTCATAAAGATGGTCTGAAACGTAATGCTTGGTTTGAAAAAAAAAGTACATTTAGTGCCTTTGTATGTTTCGAAGCAAACTTAGTAGAAGTTTCTAATAATACATGGTGGCTTGACTCTGGTGCAACAATTCATGTATACACTATGTTTCAGGCATTTACTACGATCCAAACTACGAATCCAAATAAAAAAATATTAAAAAAATTCTTGTTCATGGAAAATCGCATGAAGGCTAAAATTGAAGGTATAGGGACTTATCGTTGATCTTGGAGACTAAACATCACCTTGATCTATTATAGACTCTTTATGTTCCTTCAATTACTAGGAATTTGATTTCTCTTTCAAGACTTGATGTTTCTAGATTTGATTTTAAGTTTGGACATAGATGTTTCAATTTATATAAGAATACTATTTTTGTAGTTCTGGTGTTGTTATTGATGATTTATATAGATCGAAACTTGATAATAATTTTTATGAATTCCTGCTTACTATTCATCAAAATAATGGAATTAAACGCAGTTCACTAAATGAAATTTCTTCTTATTTGTGGCATAAACATTTGGGTCATGTATCCAAAGAACAATTAAAAAGATTAGTAAAGAATTAAATTCTTCTGAATTTGAATTTTGTTGATCTTGATATATGTTTGGATTGCATTAAAGGAAAGTAAACCAAACATACCAAGAAAGGTGCCACAAGGAGCACTCAGCTTCTTGAAATAATACACACTGATATCGCGGACCCATTGATGCTTCATCTTTAGGTGGAGAAAATTATTTTATCACCTTTATAGATGATTTTCACGTTATGAATTTATCTATTTGTTGAAAAAAAACTCAAGCAACGGACACTCTCAAAGTGTACGTTAACGAGGATGAAAGACAATTAGATAGAAAAGTTAAAATCATTAATTAGGTCAGATTGAGGTGGTGAATATTATGAAAATTGTAATGAATCAGAACAATATCTAAGTCTATTCGCAAAATTCTTTGAGAATGATGAAGTTGGTGGAAGTGTTGAACGATAAAATGTGAAAATTAATGAGGTAAAGTTAAATATTTCATTGCCCATGAATATACCTAATTCCTACAAATCACAAATGTTGTTCCTATTGTTGAAGAACACTTTAACAATGTTGAACAACATTTAGGTGAAACACTTAAGAAGGAACTAACTCATAAGTATCTGATGCAAATTAACCACAAACAATGCCATAAAGAAAATTGGTTAGTATGTGATTTAGTTGCAAGAGTCAGATTTTGACATTAGAATTAATAAAGAATCATTTTCACAAGCCACAGA